TTTGAAAATAAAGTGCAAATTAATACTGAGAAGTTTAACATTTTCAGACTTTTTGCAAAAAAATAATGTAAGGAGAATGCTTTCTTTCCTATTTCTTTTGCTCTTCAAATGGCAGTAGTAAATTTTCCCAATTCAACAAGTCAGTTACAGGAGCCATAATAACAACTCACATTTTCAGACTCCCAGCTTCATGCTCCTTCAAGTATAACCTAATTGCATAAATAGAAAACATGTCTCCATCTCCAAAACAAATTTCAAATAAAGTAAGAAATTTTTGGATGAGTTATTCCTAATGCGATAGACACCTGCATTTTGCAGTGACTTTAAACGCAGTGCAGATCTTAGTATGCTGTGTTTCCTGAATGCTACAGATCAGGAAAAATGGTAATTTACCTGTGCATGTGTATTGCATTAGTTTATTCTTCTTGGCACTGATTTCATTCTTTCCAGATGCTGTCACTTTCCAAAAGAAAGATTCCAATAAAAGTCTAATCTGTCTGTGTAGCAGAGTTGTGTTGTGTATTTCTGAGAGAGCAGTGACGCCGCCGCGCTCACGGATGCATCTGAGCACCAGAGAGAAGTCCTGGTGGAGTCAGCACTATGCTCTGAATGTAGGAAGGAAGCAGCTTTGTGTAGTAGTTAATTGGGAGTTCGGTGCCGCTTCCATCACTCTGTGTGCTAAATCCATGTCAATGAGCTGATCTCAGTATGCAAAAGAGCAGAGACTGATGCAAGTTTTTATACTTACAGTACATATGCAGAAGTCATATCAGAGTCCTGGCATGTCCTTGAACAGGGCACGCGATCCATTTTCATTCTAGTGAAAGTGCCACATGTCTCTATTTCCTAACAATCATACTTCTGGATTTTAAGATTTCTTACTAAACAGTAATCTTAGGGCCGGCCAAAGGGCTCAGCAGATTAAAGTGCCTGCTTAGGCAGACGTAGAGGCCAGGAATTCGATCCCCAGGACTGCTGTACCGGCCCCACCCCCGGGGTGCACTGAGACAGCAATTGAGAGTGGGCGTGATAGCGTGCCCCTGTAATCCCAGCACTTGGGAGGCTGTAAACAGGAGGATCACTACGAGTCTGATCTATGCAGTGAGATCCTGTACACCCCGCCCTAAAATAAACAAAACAAAAACAAAAAACCAGTATCCTACACATAGATTTCTCAATAGCTAAACATTTTCTGATACAAGACCATGATATCCATTAATGAAAAATGACTTTGGCGTATGACTGTACACAATTATGATAAAGATTGTCGTTTGATACTAAGGCCCTCCAGTGGGAAAAAAGAATCCTTAAAACTGTATATAGAGAAACCATGAGCTCCAAATGATATCCTGGTGGGCTATAGGTAATTTTAATGTGGCATTAAAAAGGTTTTCAGAGAGTGAAATTGAATAAATGAAGTTAAATATAGGATATATAGGGCTTCAAGATGAACTGGAATACCACAGTACCTTTCACTTGTTGCTTCACTTTGTACCAAAATATAATATTTAATAGAGCCAGAGATATATAGCTCAGTGACACAAGCACCCGCCTGACAAGTACAAGGTCCTAAGTTAGCTTCCTGACACAGCAACTAAAGAATTAATAAGAATCTTACGTTTGACTTATAGTATGCAAGATGACGTAATCAAGAAAATACTACTCTCTGAACTGCAAATAAAGGAAGGAAATCATGAATCTTATAAGACGCAAGTGCGGGATGCACTTACTAGGAATTCTCCGTATGTGGGTCACAGAGTGATGTCAGTAAGTCTCTCCTGTCCTCCACATTGTTCTCTTACAGCAGTTTCTTCCTGCAGCAGCTGATCTTGCAAGAAGGACTGCATTTCCTTCAAGTGTGACTGTGGTAAATCACTTCTAAAAATCTTTTAGACGGAGTTTTACTAATTTAAAATAAATTTGTTCCCTTAATCCTCACAACAATCATGCTAGATCTAACAGAGGCAGTATTGTGCTTCTATTTTGTACCAAAGGGAGAAACCAATCATCGGAATTTTAGAACCTTCAGTTTCTGTGTCCTGGCCTTGAACATATGCTTTCCAATACTACAAAGCGAATAAGTAGAAAAACAGTTATGCAGCTGTGTAGGCCTGGATCTGTGTGCTGACCAGGCATGTCATCTTCATCAGGAAAATGGGGCAAGGATTATTTGAAGGTATCTTGAGGATTAGAAATAACATAGGGAAGGTTACTAGAACAAATCTGCGAGACAAGAAGTAATATTTGTACTATCCAGACATTGTCTTTTTTTTCTTTTTACTGGCTCAGGCTGCCTTAAGGGTGGATCTAGTGCAGCATGTGGAGCTGGGGATCAAACCGTGGTTCCCTGCACCTGACTTAGTTTGCCCAAGCAGGTGCTTTAAACAACTGAGCTAAGCCACAAGCCCCACAGGCATTGTCTTCTAATGTGACAATTCTTCTAAATACTTTTAATAATTTTTTTTAAATTTTTCTGAGAAAGTGTTATTTTTCATCCATAATTTTAAGGAACAAAATTAATTCTTAACATCTAGAAAATAAAATATAATCCAATTATTGTGTGAGGGAAAGTAATTTCACTAAAGCGAGTCCTAACTAGCAAAGGTTCATTTGATGTATTACTGTATTAGTATTGTTAGTCCTGTGAAAATATTAACATACAAATTATAGAGAATCTTCTGCTGGCTAGAAAGCAAAAGGGAAGAGAGGTCAGTGCTATTCAAACATAATTAACCTTCAAGCTTGAGTTCCATTAACCCAAGTGAATTTTTGATACCATTTTATATATAATTCTATTAAAGTACAATTTTCACATGTGTAGAGCCTTTGTGTCAAAGGAACACAGAATTTGAGAAAGGCATGGCAGTGTTGAAACCACTGAAGTTAATACCCTAAGTAGATTTGAAAAGTGACTCTTGGAGGAAATGAGGACTTGAAAGAGAGGCTCAGAGAGGAGGTAAGGAAGGTACAGAGGCTAAGAAGGCAGAGGGAGAGGAGGAGGGCTGTGGCAGGGGCACCATCCCTGGAGGGTGCAGGTGCCTTGTAGAAAGGCTTGAGCTCAGGGATGTCTGTAGAGAACAGAGGGCAACACTGAGCTGCAGCCACGTTAAGCTGACCAGGGCACTAGGTGATGGGTAACAAGTGATGCTTGTCACTGTTCCCTGCAGGTACCCTGATACCTATCTGGTGAAATCAGAGGATGAGCTTGGCTAAAAATACCTTAGAGAAGAAACATCTTCCAACCTAAGGGAGCTGGGCTGGTTAGAGGTTTCCAGAGCTAGGAGGGTGACTGAAGGTTCCTAACTTACCCCTGTAGACTCTGATATCACCAGAGTAAGGAGAAGCCTCCGGGAGGCTGGATGATCATCCCAGGGTCATACAAAGCTGTGGAAATCTGGGCTGTGGACAGAAGTCTGTTTTTCTGATTTCAAAGCTTGTGTTCTTTTGATTGCATCATCAACTCTAAGCAGAAGTGGCTCATGGGTAGGGATTGCATTAGGTAAAACAATGACAGAAAGTTAAGTAATGTCTGAAGATTAGTCCTGAGATTCTGTGATACTGAGTCCTTTTCCTGCAAAAGTGACTCACAAGAGAGCTTCTCCCAGTCGTTCTTTTGCGTGTATGCCTGCACTGTTCATTGCTTTCGTTTCTTTCAGGAAAGAATGCGGCTGAACTCTACCTCATGCTTAAGGCTTGAGAAAGCAAAGTCAGATACCTAGGGATTCTGGCAGAGACAATATTTTAGGACTTCTTGCCTTAAATTATTTTCCTTTGCGGCAAATTCAATTAATTTAACTTATCAATCAGCAATACAAATCATTAGGAATATTTTAAGATGGAAACCCTGAAGTTTGAGTTGATCCTTTAGTCCCCTAAAGATAGTTAAATCTCTCTTGTCCATGATTGATCATAGGAATCAGTTCCAAAGAAAACAAAACAAAACAAAACAAAACAAAACAACTTTGAAGGGTAGGAGGAGAAAACAAATGTCAACCTCTAGTGCTTTAACTTCTTGAGTGAAGCTTTATTACAATTCTTGGATCAGGGAGGCTTCAATGTGTAGCTACAAGGCTTTCTTTTGAAAAATGCCATACCAGAGTAGCACCAAAACAGAGACAATACAGAATGTGCCTAATGATTTTGGATAGATAATTAGCAAAGTGACAGTAGTAATTCTGTAATTTATATGCACTTTAAAATCACCAAAATCTATTTCTAAAGGAATAACTCAAAATAAATAGCAACCACATTCCTAAACCTGTTGTTTATTACAATTCAAAAGAGCAATATCTTGCATTATTCAAGCTGAGTTTATTGAGTGCAGGCTTAGATTTATAGATCAAACCTGAAACAAAACTATCTCCAACAGCTTTAAACAAATTTAGAATTTAAATTCTTAATTCAATCACTAAATAGCAAAAATACTTCTAATACTGAATAATAGACATAGTTTAAGTCTACTTCAACTAGATTTTACTACAATCTTGATATGTTTTATTTTTATAAGGATAAAACAAAGGATGCTTAAATGTATAGAATGTAGAGATTGGTTACTTAAAGCTTGTTCTTACGCTCCAATTTTAATGGAAGTGAGTACAGAAGAAAAAAAAATTCTACACAGATTATTTAAACTAGACTACTTTTGTTTATTAAATAATTTCCTGATGTTTACATCTGTGATAAAAGCAAAGTACTATCAAGTACATAAGAGAGAATCATTCTCTTAGTTTTCTTTCTTTGTTGTGAAATTTTAAGAGAGCACAAAGCAATGTAATAAATATAAAGTATCTGAGCAAACAATTAGCTCCACCTTCACTTTGAATTACATAAATATCTTGGATAATCTAATCATTTTAGAGAGGGAAAAATTATATTAATAAGCCTCATTTAATTGTAACAAAACCAAGATGTACAAAATATTTTTAAAATATGCATAAGCGAATATAATAAAGAGGGAAAAATCCCTCAGATCTTTGTATCAGTTTTTACATTTAACTTACCTTGTAATAAATGAGGAGATTCTAACTATAGAATCCTGTCTGTGTAGGTCTTCCAAAACTCAGCCTTGATGGTGAGATTTCTCTCGAAGTTTTTATAGTCTCAGTTATACATCTCTTACTCCAATCCCTGCCTTTGCTTTCTCTTACATCATTTCTACAGATTTTCCACTGCACATTTTCCCAGGGCTTTTTTCAGTCCTCTCTCTCTCTCTCTCTCTCTCTCTCTCTCTCTCTCTCTCTCTCTCTCTCTCTCTCTCCCCCTTTGTCTCCCTTTCTCCCTCCCTCCTTCTCTCCTTTGTTTCTGTCTCTCTCCTTCCCTCTCCCTCTTTCCCTCTCTCTCTGCCTTTCTTTTCTCCCTTTTCTCTCTCTCCCTCCTTCTCTCCCTCTCTCTCTTATCTCCCGTTTTCCTCTCCTATCTATCCTCATATGGCATTTAAGAGCAATGGGAGCTTAACTATGGAAAATTTCAGTATATATTTAGAATTGTATTCGGCTTCAGAGCCATCACCTCTTTCTGAGGTTTTGGTCCAGCTCTGAGTATTACAAATCATACTTGGAAAATAAATTGCCCTAAAATTTGCTAAAATCACCAGGACATTTCAAAGTGAGATTTAAAGAGTTTGTAACCCAAATTGATTTATTAGGGCCTTTTTCGGACCCTTCATTAAATGGTCATCTGCGGATGTAACGAGTCTCTCAGCCCTGGTCAGGTGCACAATGCTGTGTCAGTGAAACCCATAGCTACTTCGTAATTAATGAGCTATCCTGGGAAGCCTGTCGCTAACAAACCTATAAATATTGAGCTGTGACACACAGGCTATAAATGCAGGCTTTGTAGTCATTCTTATCTTGCTCTTGTTTTCCAGTATTTTAATTTTCTTTCAACCAAAATACGGACACCTCCTTCTGAAGGTGTCCTTTATGCTCCTTGTCTATCAACTACATATGTATACTTATGTTCATAAATTCTTGAAAGTAGACCATAACATTCAAAAGGTATATTTGATGTCATAAAATCTTTCTTGGCTCACTTGTCTGGCAGCAGTTTCCCATTTAACAGACAGAGAATCTGAGGTTGTGATAAGTGAAGTGACCCAAGGAGACCACGCAGCTAGGGGTGATGACAGAGCCCAGTGTCCAGCTCAGAGCTCCTTCATCTTGTATGCAGTCATTTGTTCATACATTTTGTCTTGCTACTTAAAAAGCTGGAAAAGAGTCCAAACTAGATCGTACCTTCGCACAAATAGAAATAAATTTGTTCCTTTTGGTTTTGCTTAAAAGCCACTTAAAATACTACTCACTAGTGTAGGAACGATTACATGGTTAATTTGGAAGGAGAGGGGAGAACTGACCAGAGAACACTGAATTGGTGGGACAGTAAAATGCTTCATTTTTATGAAAGGTTTCCAGGGATAACATATGTCTCCACAAGCTTGAAATGTGAGTAGTTGGCAGCGATAGCTTACAAGTCAAGATAAAAATATAGCCTTAGTGTGGACCCTTCTTTAGACATTACTACCATGAAACAATTATGTTCCCTGAATCCACATGATGGAAAACTCTCAATATAGATTTAATGGATGCGTCTCGATGCTACCATGGCCAACACTCTTGACGTACCTTCTCCCCTTATTTGAAACATCTCCCTTAGCATGCTGACAAGTGATATCTGCACCTGATTTATTCCACGTCTGTCCCTGCTTAGACAGTCCAAATATTCCACCCTATTTGTGGATTTTGTCGACCTCATTCAAAAGTTTGACCTAAGTGTTCAGCAGCATTAGAAATAGCAACAGTTTATTTCAGAAGCACAACCATGGTACATTTAAGCCACTTATCCAGGCTTCTGTACATTAGCCACCATTAGGCGATCTACTTGTGCATCTGCACTTGGCAGGAAAACATTCAATTGTCTTTTAAAAAGGAGAAGAAATAGGCGTATGCCAAGAATCAACCAAAGAAAGATACATTTCCGGTGATAGATGGGGAGAAACTAAGATGAAAAAGAGGAAAATATTGATGAACACTTAGTTGTCATGTTCTTATTTAATTCTCATAAAACTCCTGTCAACAAGGAATTATTCCTATGTGACAGGTGTGAAAATGGAAGTTTAAAATCTGTTAAGGGCATAGCCCAAGTCCTCCTGGCTTGAAAGGGTTGGGACCAATGTTGACATTTTCTATCTGTGTCAGTCAGGATTCTGGTGGGAAAGAAGTGGCGCATTCACACTGAGTAAAGGGAAGACAACACACACTGGGCAAAGGGTACAGGGAGCAGGAGGATAGTGAGACATAGCAATCCAGCAACAGACAGCTTCCTAGTCCTGAGGCGACAACAAGGATTCCAGGGACCCGCCGGGATCCAGGCGGAGAACGTTGTCTTGCAAAAGTGGGACCTTTTATCAAAGGACAGCTCTTGTCCAAAGCAAGATAGAGGGAGAAGCAGCCGGCAAAACAAACACCAAGATTGCAGCATGTCTTTGTTGCGCTCTTTCCCTTGGTGGAGTCCAACTGGCAAAATTTTGGAGGGAAGGGAGAGAAAGGAGACCCAGCACACTGTCTATGCTCAAAGCTTCTGAGAGACATACAAGAGGGGTGTGTGTAAAGCCCAACATGACTGCAGCCGTCAGAGGCAGGCTTATACTTTCTAACTACCAGGAAGTTAGGAGCAGATCTAATGCTTTCTAACTTCTTTTCAAGCCGGTTCATTGAAGCACAATTATCCCACCTGGAATTCAAACTCCACTCTTTATTAAATTGTACAGCTTGATGGGAAATCTGTAACTTCCATGACAGTTAAGATGTAGAAATTTTCTATTACTTCCCAAATTTCCCTCCTGTCCCTTTCCACACTCCACCGCCTCCAAGTTCCAGAAGCGACTGAGTCTGCTCCACAATTCTGCCTTTTTCCAGAAGCCAAAGGAATCACATATACCGCGCAAACTCTTTATTGCCCAGCTTCTTTTACTTAGAATAATGCCTTTAAGAGTCATCCGTGCTTTTAAATAGTGTTTTCCGATATTTGAGATGACTTTGTGCTGAGTCTCTGCTTACGTAGTCAGTAGTAGTTTTGTCTTCCCAAGGTGAGCTCCGTGTGGTCACAATATATTACATTTTGCTGTGTCGTTATATGTACTATATAACATTCTTAAAAATAACATTTTACTACCGTAACATTCTTAAAAATCTCTATTTGTGGTGGGTTTAAGGTTTTTTATTTTCTTCAAATACTTTTTCAAGTTTTGGTCTTCTAAAACGTTGGAAAGAATTACCTTCACCTCTATTTTCAGAATTTTTTTTAATTTTTTTCAGTAGTGGGATACAACTCAGGACCATATGCTTGCCAAGCAGGCACTTATGCCACTGAGCTATCAAAATATGCCCAGCATATTTTGAGAAATTTTGGGTGGATTTGTACTATTTCTTCCATGTAAGCTTGAAAAATTCATTAGTGTGTCCACCTAAGCCATTTGTTCCTGTGTGGGAAAAATTTTTTAATTAAAGCTTCAAATTCTTTACAGTTAATAGAATAAGCAATTATTGGAGCTGTTTTTTTCTAGGTGTATCTTCTCAGCTTGTATCTTTCAAATGTGCTCACTTTATTAATTATTAAATTTAAGTTATTTATAGTATTGTTTCCTTTTCATATCTGTGGAATCTCTCATGACATTGTTATTTTATTACCAACTCTAGTACTGTTCTATTCAATATTCTCTTTTGTTAAAAAATCTTTTATTTATTTATTTGTTTGCTACAGGGTCTTGCTACACAGCTTGACCCAGAGAGCATAGTGGCTCTCCTGTCTCAGCTTCTCCAGAGTTGGGATTACAGGTGTGCGCCACCATTCCCAGGTTCCAGGGCTGCACTAGGAGTCAAACCCAAGTCTTTGTATTTGTCTGGCAGGTCCTTAGACTGCTGAGCTATCTCTTCAGTCCTTATTCAATATTTTCTTGATCAAAACCTGGAATTATATCCATTATATACACTCAACTGCATTTTGTTTCATTGATTTTTTTCTCTACTATTTTCATCCTTTTATCCACGTACTTCATATTGTGTCTTTCTCTTTGCCTCTTGGTTTTTAATTATGCATAATTTTCTATTTTCTTAAGGTTAACACTTAAATATTTGATTATGCATTTCTTTTTGTCTATTTCAGGTATTCAGTGTTACAGATTTTCCTTCAAACATCATTCTGGCAGTATTATACACATTTTGATATGCTATGGTTTTTACTTATTTAATTTTGTAATATTTTCTAAGTGTTTATTTAGTATTGGTTAGCTAAACATATGTTTAATTGTTTAATTTTTAGTAATCTACTTTTATTTTGAATTTTTAGTTTGTTTTATCATTCAACTTCTTTTAAGTTGCTCATTACCTGCATTATGGTTGACTATATACTATGTGCTATGCAGACTTTTTTTTTAATCGTTCTTTCTTTCTTTTTATACTGGGAATCAAATACAGGACCATGCATTTGCCAGCCAGACACTGGGTTGCTGAGCTATATTTCCAGATCAGAACTTTTTAAAAAGTGAGCTCTAGGGTTATTGACTTGTGCATTTATAAATCCCAGCTAAGATAAATTGACCTTCAGTGTTGAAATCTATACTTGAATAATTTTTGTCTGTTTATTCTCTTATCATTAAAGAAAGATTGTTGATATCTCCAATTATAACTGTAAATTCTATATCTGTTTTAAGTTTAGCTTTTGCTTCATGAAATATGAAGCTATTTACCAGGTGCATGATCCTTTATCATTAGGAAATTGACCTCCTATTTCTAGTAAAAATCGTTGTTCTGAAATTTAGCCTGCCCAACACTAATTTTTCACTATGGCTTTCTTTTAATTGTCGTTAGCATAATATGTCTTTGTTGTACTTTTAGTCACCCTATGCAATTACATGATAGCAGATTTTTAAAGTAAACGCAACACTCATTCATGCTTTTTCTTCTAATCTGACTGTATTCCAAGTTAGTTGGTGCATTTTGACCATTTTTATTTAATGCAATTATAATATGCTTGGATTTATGAGTGCTATCTGAAAAATTGTTTCTTTTTCCGTCTGGTCTCTGTTCCTTGCTTTTTAAATTTCCTTTCCTTTTAATATTTATGCTTTTATTTCATTAATTTTACTAAGATATAATATATATCCCCCCCCTTTTTTTT